TGAAGAAATTACATATAATTTAAGAAAAATCCAAAGAATTTTAGAAAGTTTAGGAGATTTAATGGGCAAAACAAACCCAGTTTCTGAAAGGGTGCTATGAGAAAACAAAAACCAAACATTATTTTAGTACCATTTTGGTATTTTGCTCTTTTACTTCATTATTATGTACTTTTTTTGAGAGGTTGTTTACTGTTGGTACATATTTGTTTATTATTGTGAGTTATATTGTTTTGTGTGTATATTCTTTTGGGAGGAGGGAGAAAAAAATATCAAAAACATAAAAGATACAAAAAAGTTTGTCTGACAAATAAATCCTCAAGATCAGGAAACAGATCAAGTTATCATCATTTGCTATGAAACTATTCTGCAGGTCATTCCTGCCACTCTGCAACCTCTACACCCAGGCGTTCGGTGCTGTGGTCAAACTAAAGCTGCTTATTTCACGGCTGCTTCACACCTGGTATTTCAATTTGATTCTTAAACATTTGGCTCATTCACATCTGGCACACAGAGTGTGTAAAGGAGCAAATACAGAGGTTCATTCATGGTTACGTAGCAACAGAGCATGAGAGAGCGAGGATGGAGTTTGGACTGAGAGCGGCTGAGTGTGTGTGTTATAGACACAGGGAGAGAGACAGAGTTAGTTTCTTCCTTGCAGCAGGCGAAGCTGCTCCTGAGGGACCTGTGGGTTACAACATGTTAGTTCCCAGAAGAGAGACTGGGACTGCCTGGAAACACACGCACGAGGCCACCCAGATCTGAACCACCCAGGACCAATAGCAGCATCATTATTTCATGAGATCAGTTCATAAGGGAGGCAGCTGAATGTCAAAACTACAGCATCAATTTCACACAGAAGCCTCATATCTGCCTTTTATTTCACCACCGCTGGCAGATGATGGTAGAAAATGTTTCATCGACAACTGGGACAAAGTCAAACTAAATACAGTGTAAAATATCTGAGGCCTTTTAGACCTTAAACCTCAGATTAAACGAAAGTGATATTAAAAAGCAAAATGACAAAATAAGGAAAATAAACTTCAGATGAAACAGTGTGTGTTTTTCCTGTTACTATGTAACTGGTGCAAATGGGCATCAGATTTGACCATATATCTCAGCACCCAGTAATTTGCTGGACAGAGAACTGAGAAAACTCATTTTTACCCTGAAGCCATCTGTATGTGGAGTTGGATGCACTGTTACGGTTTACTGTAGATCGCAGGAGCTATGTGAGATTTTGGTTTGGCTGATCTGTGACATTAAAAAGTTGCTAACCACTCTGGATCCAACTCATGAAAAAAAAGAGCAAGGAGAAGACGAAGAAATAGGAAAGGAGGAGAAGGAAGCATGTAGTTTTTTGGAAAGAAAACAAGTTCCATCTTCTCTCTCTAAACAATAACACACTTTAAGCTACAGCTGCTGCACTGTGGAGGACTGTGGTACTATTGGGCAGAAATAAGTTGTGAATGTGTGCAGAAGTGCCGCTAGAAATCTCGGACCCTCTGAGCTAGAGAGAGCACTAAAACATTAAATATCTACAATCCCTGGCAGGTTACAGGGCTCCTGTCATTCTCCGGGCCCCCTGAATGATTCAGGGGTTTCCCTCCCCAATGGCACCCCTCAACATGTGTGCTTAAAATCATCCTGCTATGTCAGCAACTCTCAACAAACCTCAAAAAATGTGAGAGGATTCAGAAGAAAACAGTGCAGGGAAAGGAAAGATGGCAGAGTGAAAGACGTTTGACTGCATTAATATATTTCCAGCAGAAAGATCTTAATTTGATGTTTGACTGTCTTTCCGAGCATAGCTTTAGAGTAATATTGTCTTATTGTTTTAAAGTAGGAATCAGAGAGAGAAAGGATTTCCTAAGAGCTTGTAACAAAAACACTACCTTATCTGCACCATGTGGTAGTAGCAGATACTGACAACATATTTTAGCTGTTTCCAATGGACACTAATCTCCTGACCCTGTGTAGCTAATCTGAAATGAGAAAATACTGACATTGGTTTTGCAGTTAAAATAAAATATTAGTGTTATGAGAGATGGGGAAAAGTGGTCCAGAATTTAAATAACTGGGGTTTTGAAATAAAAGGTTCAGGCACTGGAGGAGAAGAAATATATATATAAGCCTTTATTTAATCAGGAACAGTTAATGGTTTAATTACAGTTTCCACCTCACAGTGTCTTCATCGGGGTCAGTGTTTTAAATCATTAATATAGTAGAACAGATTTAGGCTTTTTTGTCCACACTTTGCCTGAAAGTGCCTTAAGGGTGTTCCTTGTGGCTCTGTTTTGGTCTTTCGAGAAAATTATGTTTAACTGCCAACTGCTCCTCTTTGTTAACCAGTAGTAGCCACTAGTCCCTACCATTCTCTGATGCAGCACTTGGGTGTTTTAGACAGCCTGTCTTCACCCAGAAAATGACAACATAGGTCGATCGTTGAAGGGCTTAAAACCAGATTGAGTGTTTCAGTGCATGTGGAAAAACAACCAGGTGTTGGATATATATAACCACAAAAATCCTATTTTCGAGGTGGTGGGTAGGATGGATGATAGATATTTAGGCAACCTTCACCCAGGAGACCGTTTTTTGTGTTTTGTAGTGTTTATTTTTATCATTAGCGCTAGCTATGTAACTGTTAAAGACATTGACAACCCCCTTACCCCAACCTTAACCATCACAGGGCGTGATTGTATGCATGTCGACCGGAAACCTTATCTGCAAGCAGGTTGATGTGCTTGTGTATCAATGAGGAACAGAAAGGTCCTCATTGATACCTTTCATGACCTACCTAACCTGAGGGGTGTACTGACATTAGATAGCCCCCACCCCATTCAACCTCTGCAGAGGTTGAACGGGGTGGGGGTTCAGCCTGTCGGTGCTCAGACCATACGCCGCACACTGAATCAAACTGGTCTGCATGGCCTCTTCTAAAGATGATGCACAAGAAAGCCTGCAAACAGTTTGCTGAAGACAAGCAGACTAAGGACATGGATTACTAGAACCATGTCCTGTGGTCTGTTGAGACCAAGATAAACTTATTTGGTTCAGATGGTATCAAGCATGTGTGGCGGCAACCAGGAGAGGCGTACAAAGACAAGTGTGTCTTGCCTACAGTCAAGCATGATGGTGGGGGTGTCATAGTCTGGGGCTGCATGAGTGCTGCCAGCACTGGGAAGCTACAGGTCATTGAGGGAACCATGAATGCCAACATGTACTGTGACATATTGAAGCAGACCATGATCCCCTCCCTTCAAAGACTTTGCCCGCAGGGCAGTATTACAACATGATAACAACCCTAAAAACACCTCCAAGACGACCACTGCCTTGCTAAAGAAGCTGAGGGTAAAGGTGATGGACTGCCAAGCATGTTTCCAGACCTAAACCCTATTGAGCATCTGTGGGGCATCCTGAAACGTAAGGTGGAGGAGCGCAAGGTCTCTAAAATCCACCTGCTCTGTGATGTCGTCATGGAGGAGTGGAAGGGGACTCCAGTGGCAACCTGAAACCCAAAAGGATTAAGGCAGTGCTGGAAAATAATGATGGCTACACAAAATACTGACACTTTGGGCCCAAGTTGGACATTTTCACTTAGGGGTGTACTCACTTTTGTTGCCAGCGGGTTAGACATTGATGACTGTGATGTGTTATTCTGAGGGGACGGCAAATTTACACTGTTATACTAGCTGTACACTCAGTACTTCACATAGTAGTGTCATTTCTTCACTGTTGTCACATCAAATATTTACAAAAATGTAAGGGGTGTACTCACTTTTGTGAGATACTGTATATGTCGTTTTGGGAGGCATTAAAAACACTCATATGCAGTAGATCGACCTATTCTATTTTGTTTTCTATCATATGTCTGGTCTTATTTTGTCTTTTACAATTTCGACATTGTCATTCTTGAATACAATTATTACAAAAAAATAAATAAAAAAACAACAAAGACACAGGAGATGACTTTGGTCTAAATTCGCACTTTATTCCTAACACTTACAGGTTTGTTTTGTCCCCGTTTCCCTGGCCCCCAAAACAACAGGCACACAGATAGCGATGAGTTAAGGGACAGTAGAGAACAGTTTCAAACCCAAACGTTTCCAACAGAATCAGGTTATAGAATCAACTCAGACAGAGAGAGCCTCGAGGTCAAAAAACAGCATATTGTAAGCATACTTCAAAACAGAAAAAAGGACCCAAAAAACAGATACTAAAGCTTACAGAGCAGTGTTTGTCTCATCTTTTATGTTCATCACCACCATCATCATCACCATCATTATTAGGCTACATTAAAGAATACTTTTGGAGTTTACAGCCATCATAAAAACGTAGGAGTTGTACAACGTGGAGAAAAAGAAAATCAAGGTAGAAGATACAGTGGAGCTCTTTGGTTTTCACTATTGAGGTTTTTTTTCTTTAGCAGTAAAATCTATCTTTGCTGTCCTCTTAACCTTTGGATTTAAGCTGCATTGTAGAAAAAATAGAAAGGAAAACGTTTCTTTTAAATTTCTCCTAAATAAATGAACGATAACATGGGGCAAACAAAATCGACTGAAATTACTCTCTCCTTTTTTCCACTCTGTTATCAGTTATTACATTTTGTGTTCTCAAGGCCAAAAAAAAAAAAAAAGTCTTTTATATGTCACGGTGACTTGAAAGTTGAGCATAGTAGTAAAATTAACATTCACAGCCACAGAAGAACTACAGTAGAAAACTGTCAAGGCCTGAAGTGCTTTTATTATCTGACAGTGTTTTTATATTAATGTCAGGCGCTGGATACTTTTATTTTAGCAGTTACAGTCCCTAACAAGAATCCTGAATGTTTATATACAAATGGTATGACTGTGAGTGTGTGTGTTGTGTTTGTAGTGTAGTGTCTCACTGTGGTAGTTTAAACTTTGGTATTATTCTCTGTCCACCACAGCCGAGTCGGATTACACAGGCACACATACAGACAGAGCTGCACTGCTGTCGGAGAACCCCCCCCCCCCCCCACAAATCTTAAAAATATAAATTTGTATTTTCTTAAGTTTAATCTGACATCCACACAGTTTTTCAGCTCTGCAGTGGATTTTTAACGGCCCAAGTAACACAATGCTCGAGCAACACACTAAAAACATAAATTCACATTTTAAGTAAAAACACGAAACCTGGAGTTCAAATGTTTTCCTCCGACAGCAGTGATGAATATACACACACACCTTTCTCTCTACAAAGCACAGCCACATCCTTAGCACTTCACTGAACTCCAAACAGCAAGAGGACATGGCGGTGTATTCTGTAGGTTAAAGCCATAGGAACAACTGGTTAATGAAAATCTTTGTTTCTCCTTCATCAAGATAACTTGCTAGGGCCAGTTTCACATCCCTCACTCCTGAGTTCAGACAAGTCACGTCTTTTTTTTGTATTTTTTTTGTCATTAAAGCTTGAATGTCTATTTGGTTTTTTCATCAGAGTATCAGAGGTATGAGTTAAAACCCTCGTCCTGAAGTGGGACGGAGGGAATCAGAAAGCTTTTTAGAGAGGAGAGGAGGAGACGTGAACGGAGGAAATTCACTTAACAGGACAGAAATGTTGGATTTTAAACCAAAACACTGGGCGAAAGTTGGGAAATGTGACAACCACTGACATGTTTAACCAGTTTTGAGTGTGTGAAATTGAGCTGGGTCAAACAGTCAGTTTAGTTTATTTTCCAGTGCCAGATTTGCTGTTTGGAATGTCCTAAAGCAGCAAATTTAATCCACCAGGATCGGGTTGCAAGAGCTAAAGTCCATTACCAAGTTTGTGTGTTAAGTCCTTAAATTCTTAGCCACCACTAACTAGTTTTAGAGTAAAAGTGATTTACTATATCAGGTTGCACCATAAAAAAGACGTTTTAGTAGTGACAAGATAAGTAATAAAGACTTTAGTAATACGTAAATCAGTTTGAGGAAACATCTGTAGTGTCATCTAATCAGGAGGCACCATTAGCATCACAAGCTGTGACATAACTGGCAAAATATGACAGTTTTAGGGGTTATCTAGATATTAAAACTTAACTGCTAATCCTTGTAATCCTGTAAATGTAGGGATGCATACTTAAAGAAATAGTTTCAGAGTTTGTAGTACTCATATTCAATTATGCTAATCCAACAAACACCAACAATAGCATTTGTAATGAGAGATAGCTACAGCTATTTTGTGTAATTTTTGCGAAATGTAATGTAAAAGTTCAAGTTTATATCACTTTGTAAAAGTATTTTGATCAATTGTCAGGTTAGCTATGTCGACCATAGCTCTTTGACTCATCAGTCTAAACAGGTCATATATTAGCACGCTAACGGAACTAACGTTAGCTATGTAACAGCAACACCTGACAGTTACTGGATGTAAATAGTTACGTCTTTGACTAATCTGAACTAGTTTCAGTGGTGCAACCAATTTTAACAATTGATATGTAAATATCTACTTAGTAAAGACTTGTTATAACTATGCTAAGTTTGAACTAATAAAGAGCTGGTGCAACTGGCTGTGTACTGCACCTGACACCATGGATGGTGATCAATAATGACAATATTTTAAAAAGCTTGTTAAAATCAGTGCTAAAGGGGAAGTAAACATCACTGACTGAAGATTACAAAACTGCAACACACACTCCAGGTTCTGCATGATATGGGAAACATGGGACAGTGAACTTCAAGAGATAATTTCCCCACAAAGCTAATTTGAAAACTTCATTTCCTCCGTCACAGTTTCCCTGCTACTTTCTCTCTCTGTCTCAGGTTACAGCAGTATGTAGGTTTGGTTTTGCTTTGAAACATTCTTTTGGCATCTTCTCTTCTTGTCGTGATCTCAAGAACACCCCTCTCTGCAGACACAAGCCTCACAATAACCCCTGAAAAACTATTACAAAGATACAGAAAGACATAAATAGAATCCAATAAATACATAAATAAAGAATCAATAAATAAACAAGGTGAGAGACAGAGAAGTTCATAAAATACAAACGAACCGTTTTTCCCATCCCCCAAAAAGCCTCCCCTCATACAATAAATACATTTTTTCCAACAAAGAGCCCATGAGAGATAAACAGTTTTAAAGCTTTTGGTTCTCAATAAATCAAGTCATCGTCTTCGGTCGTCACGATAATAGCCCCAGCCTCTTTATACATCAGCAACAAGTAAGAGCAGTTGAACATAGATTATTTTCCCCCTACAAAAACCTAAAATAACTAATACATTCCCTCTAAAAGTGGACGTTAACTGCCTTTAATCCGCCTCAGACATCAGCATCCCCCACATTCCCTTCCCATATCATCTTCATCATTGGTTGCCTCTGTCTGTTACATTAAAGCTTAACTCTATTTTCAACCTGGGCCTTGTCTTTTCCTTCCACCGGAGTGATCCATTCTCCCAAAAATACCACCAACTGCTTCACTGTAGAGCTATTTAAAGGAATCTGCAGGCAGATTTGGATGTTTTAGCCTATTAACTTAAAATTAAACTTCCATTATTGATGAAGGTTCTTACTTTCCAGGTGACCCCTGGCTAACTTTCATTATTAAAATCAGTGCGATGTATGAAAAGCAACTTCACAGTGAACCTATTTTTTGGCAATGTTTTGTTATCATGTGTTAATACTGTTGTAATCACAGACTATCCCCTAAAAACATTTCCCTTAGTGATGCATTCAAGGAAAATGATAGATTTTAGTGTTGACTGAAGATCATCACCAAAGTCAACATCACAAGAAGCATGTCTTTTTCAACATGTATTCACTTCTCAATTCTCACTCTGTAAAGAAACATCTGTTAATGACAACTATTGTACAGTCAAGCTTCAGAAGCAGACTGTAAATAATAGTAAAAGTTATCTGATCATAAATAAACTAAAAAGACTGCATTTGTACATCTTTTTGCAAGATGACAAATGTGTTGAAAATGCTGCTTTGTGTTTCACTTTTAGATTAGAATTTTTGGGAGTTTCTATTAGAAATTAACTGCATCTACGCACTCCAAGCAGCAGGTGAGAAAGTTGAAGACGATAAGTATGATGGGCGAACTGTGTGAAAACGGGTCGAGGTTGAAAAGGACCAGAGTTTTGCTTTTAACTGTCTAAAATAAGCATTGAGAGAAAATTATTATTAGTTTGTCCAACATGTTAATGTGACAGAACAGAGTCTTTTTGTACAGTTTGGTTTGTATCAAGAGAATTATCTTTATACCAACACATGCTCACACAAGCACACACACACACACACACACATACATGCACAAACACACTCTCTCACACACACACACACACACACACACACGCATGCGCACCCACTTCAGCACTCGTACAACTTGTGCATTGGTTTGGTTGTTCTATTTGGTTTGGTTGTGTGTCTAAAAAGTTTTGCTTTTGGTTTTCAGTTTTGGCTTTTTCACAATATTCTGGATCAACTAAAAAACTTTTTGTTTTTTTTAAGTCTCGGAAGCTACATTTTCACAGTTATTTTCAACCATAAACAAAAATAAAAAACCCAGAGCACAGCCGAAGAGACAAGAAGATATGAAAATAGGCAACATGTTGCCAAAACCCACCACCTCCCCACCCTCCCTCCTTCCCGCCGCATAATAAGTAGAAAGCAATGAGACAAATTCATACATCATTAACAGACACACTATGGAAAGCAAAAACAAAAATATATATATTCTCAAAGTCAGTTTGTTGAGGTTATTTCATATTTTATCCATCCAGGAAAAAGAAAGTGAGAACAAAGCCGAGGTCGCTGGCAGAGGGAGGGAGGGAACGATTTCTGTCTGTCGATACAAGAACAGCAATCACAGCTAAAGACGAACGGACAGACAGGGCCTTACTCCCCCCTTTTCTCCCCTCGTCCTCCTACTCTTTGTTTGTATTTGGTTTAGTTACGGTTCAGTCACTCATACATAACTAGTAGCAGTAGTAGTAGCTTTTGGTTTTGGGTTACTTTTTGGTTTTTTGGTCCGCCGCTTCTAGCGCACCTCCTCCTGCTCTTCTCCCTTCTTCTTCTCCTCCTCCTCTTCTTCTTGTTTTCCCCTGCAGCTTTTCATACCTTTGGCTCCTGCGCTCCTGACTTCTTCTCCTTCTCCTCCTCCTCTTCTCCTCTTTTCTTTTGGCCCTTTGATCTGATCTTAGGAGACAAAGGAGAGGGGCAGATGGGAGGGAGGGATGGAGGGCAGGGGTTTGGGGGCAGTAAGGGGAACGCCGGTGCTTCACCTCTTTCTTTTGTTCTTTTTTTTTTTTTGGTTTGGACTCTTTCTTACGCTTGTAGTGTGTGTGTATTTTTTTCCCTTTGACACTGCTGAGGTTTTGTCTGGACACTCGTCTCCCGGGCGAATCCAGAGACAACGCTGCCAGAGGCGATGCTTTGGTATCCAAGAGTGACTGTCTGGTGGTAGATGAGCAGTCTGGAAGATGACATGATGATGATGTGGGTGTGTATGGGTTGATAACAAATAAAAGAAGGCAAATAATGCTGAAAAAAATGCCAAGACTGTCCACATCTGCCTGTGGCTTGTGTGAATCCTCTTTGTAGGCAGTATAAATACTGTTCAGTGTGTATACGTCAGTTTGAGCCAACTTTAAAGATAACAATGAGATTTTTCATAATGATAATCATGATGATAATGGTGATGAAAATCCTGATAGAAAACTTCTTTATGAAGAGAAAATTAAGATGTAAATTATCCCAAAAAATCAACTTATGGTCTTCACATATGGTTGGTTTTATCCTATTTATGTGCCAGAAGGGTGGGTATTTAATGAATACCAGAAACCTCAGGCATTCACAAGAAAGCTTTTTAAAGTTATTTTCATCTACAGTCTGTATGGATTGGCATCTTACCTGATGCTATTAATTATAGTAGTAAACCCCACCCATCTGCCACTCCAGGCTGGATAAAACAAACACTGCCTGTTGTAATGTAAGGTAGGTTCACACTGTAAAGCTGTAAAGAGAGAGGTAGGTAGATATCCTGCGTATGAGATCAGCTGTAAAACATTAAACTTACGCATATGGCAAGAAATACCATAAAGAGTGATGAATAGAAAATAATAGAAAAATAGATGTTTTGTAAATCCTTAAATAAAAATGAGAATAATGAAAGTCCTGACTAAAATGGAAAATGTTTGGCATGAAGTAAAATGGAGTGCTGAACTGATCCTGGACAGGTCAGAAGTTTGAACTAAAGCTTTTCTCTCCGTTTGTTGTTTTGTGTCTTTTTTGGTTTTCAGTTTTTGGTATTTGGAGATTTTGGTTTTCATCTTTGTAAGTGTGTCTTTCTCTTCTAGCATCTTTTTTTAAATTTGGTTGCAACCACATGACCTTCCAAGGCTTGTTTAACAAGTCTTTTCTTTTTGCCTCCCATTACTCACACACAGTTTTGCTTCTCATCCCTGCCCTCAGCGAGTTTATTTTTTCTCCAGCCGATAAAAAGCACGGTGTTCGATGCCAAGCAAAAGCACTCCTCAATGCCACCTCTCCAGCAGTAGATCATTATTTGGTTTCAAATGTCCCCCTCCGTTCTGCAGTTCTCTCTATCCTCTCCATCCTCCCTCTCTCTTTGCTTCCTCCCCTCATCAATCTGTGTATATTTTTGGCTTCAGAAGACTTCAGTGGGGAGACAGAGAAAGAGAGAGACGAAATCAAAGATGGATCAGACAGAGAGATGGCTTTGGTTGAAAGGCGACATTGTAAATTTAGATTTTTAAAGCTCCTTTAACGCTCTGCTTCCTCCTCTTCCTCCTCCTCCTCTAATAGGATACTTTGGCTGTCAGTCAGCGATCACTCGGCCATGGCCCCTCCCAGGGGCGGCGGTGAGGCTTCACTGAAGGAACAGAAAGAGGCGGGACTTGAACAAGGAGATGTGGACTCCTCTGGGCATGAGGTTGGGCTCATGAGGCCGCTGGCGCCGTGGGATGGAGATTGGGAGAAGGGGGGCCTTGGGCCGCATCCACCACCACTGCTGCCACCGCCGCTGACCAGTCCAATGGCAGGCGTGGAGGCTGTCGCCATAGAGCCGGTCACCATAGGAAGGAGGGTGGGGCGGTTAAGGAATAGGGAGGAGCGGAAAGAAGGGGGGACAGTCGGACCCCCAGGTCCACCCAGAAGCATGTGACCAGCTCCCCCCTCAAGGCTGGAGATGGGCAGTTGACCGCTGCTGGCTGCCAGTGCTGGTAGGGTTGGAAGAGAGGAAGATGAGGGGAAGAGGGAAGGAGGAAGATGGAAAGAGAGATAAGACAAGGGTTGAAAAGAAAAGAGGAGGAGGAGTGGGAGGGAAAGATAAAGACAGGAAGACAAGAAAGTCAAGAGAAAAAAAAAGGGATTCAAAACGATAAATAGAAGAAGAGTGAAAGGAAGAGCCGACAAACAGATGTTGTGGCATTAAAGAGGATAAAGAGGGTAGAGATGGGACACAATAAAAATGCAGAAAGGACAGAAGAGGAGGTGAAGAGAAAGATGGAGAGAGGGATTATTGGAGGCAGATGATAAAAGGAAGAGGAAAGAAAAGCAGGCAGAGCAGATGAGTAAAGAGAATAATGTAGAGGGCAGAAAAAGAAAGTAAAGAGAAGTCAGTAAAAGGTAACATTTCAAACCTGGATGCTGCAGATAAAAATGATGACAAAAGACTGCAGAGTAAGTGGACTTACTAACACAAACAGTGAAGCAACTTTTATACACTGTCTCATCTATAGCATAAATATAAATGACTGATAGGCAAGTATAAATTATGAAATGTCTGTTCACCCATCACACTTTCTGTAGTAAAAAGTAGTTCCATTCAACACAGTTGTCAGTTTGTTCTAACACTAATCCTGGAAAGACACACTGTCACTTTTTTCATGTTGAAATGACATTTTTCTATGCTGTGAGCGCTACACACAAAATTCAATTTCATTGCAGAAGTCTCATAGAAAAAAAAGAGACAGAAATCTAAAAACCTGCAGATAAAATTATTGCCATGGACAGATACAACAACTACAAGTAAGTAGAAAATATGTTTTGATTGTAATTTGGGTGAACTGATCCTTAGAAATGAATATGTTTCTATTTACATTTGAAGGTAATGAATATTCAACCCTATAATGCAAGGAGATAATTGATCAGCAACAACGTAGATGGTTATTTATCTTCACATGCACATGCACAGAAATGTGTACTTCTACAGGATGATGAAATAGATTAAGTCAGATGTTTGTGAAAGTGTGAAAATGAACACTTCCTATGTGATCCTGTCAGTCAAGCATCTGTTGACTGTCACACAGAACCAAGTACCGCCACATAAATTAATAAATTTAAACTCAACAGTAGGTGGCATACTGTTCATAGAAAAACAATTAAATAGGTTTATTTTAGAAGACATGTTTCAAGGCTGTAGCATCATTATATTATACTGCAATGAGAATCACGCCAACTCTGAAAAGCATCTCATGCTAAATTACTGCAGCAAACATGGCAAAATAACCTATCACTCAGAACTCCACTGCAACAGAGTGACACCTGCAGACTTTTGAATTCCAGTGTAATAGTCAACACCTTTATCCATTACAGCACCATAAGTGTAAACATTCATAGCGTGTGTCCCCGGAGGGATTCAAACCAGAAATCCTTTCACGTCAACACTTCATTTCAACCCCCTCTTTTCACCGAAGCTCCTCTTTCATTTCTCCTTCAGCCTATAACTCTATCAGAGCCGACAGTGCCAGAGCTGCAGTTTCCATAACAGACTGTATCCTTCTCATCAACACATGGCCTGGAGGAGGCCGGCTTTGAATGACGCCGAAAACAGCGGTAGAAAAGGAGGAGGCGGTCTGAATCGACGCTATAGGGAGATGGGCCACATGACGGACTCAAAGCTGAGCTCAACGAACCTTATTTGTGATGCTTAATTGATTTGGCAGCAGATCATCTCTTTCAAAAAGGGGAATTTTGAGTGGAAACTAGTTATTTAGCCAACAGGCCAAGATATTGAGAGGGAGGGGATTGTGCCTGTTCAACTGTTTACTGTAAGCTGACCTAAGCTTTGCCATAAGGGGCTCTTGTCACTTTGTGATAATAGCAGACCATTGTATGGGAATGAAATTGAATCTTTCACCATACTGAGCGATTCAAAAAGTTTGTGCTGAAGAGGAGGACTGTGGCTGCAAGGAAATTCATTCTGGACAGAATGGATGAAGGGTGAAATGGGAAGTGGTCTTTAGAAATGGAGACTCATGAAGACTCGCTGAGCTGGAGGGGACAGTCTGCATGCACAGACACACACATACACTCATGCACACACACCTTGCATGGTAGCCAGGGGATTGCTGCCAATGAGGGCCTGGTTCATCCCTGTGCTTACTCCCATCATTGTGTTCCTGAAATGTGGATGATGCGCACACACACACACACACACACGAACATTCACACATGTAGAGAAACAGTTGCCAGGTTAAGTGATATAAACTGTACTAATCAGTGATGAAAAACCTGAAGACTTAAGTCTCTTGTATATTTTTCTCTATGTGTGAGAAAATACAGAATCACAATCAAACTGGTTTGTCAGCAGTCTGAGATACCTTTAATATTGGAATACAATATATTTCTCTGCAACATGCAGCTATGTATCAGGTAATGTCAAGTTAAACATGTTTTCATTACAGGTTGTGGAGTTTTATGAGGTTTCACTCATTTAAACAGGGAGCCTGACACAGTAAACAGTATTGTAGCTTGTTGCTAGGGCTGGGCAATCAAACAATAATGATAATTATTGCAATATAATTTTCCTCAATAACAATATAATAAATCTTCAATATATTGTAAATAAATGTTTGATTGAATTCATTTGAATCATGGACAAATTAGCACTTAATTTTTCTATTAAAACATTTATTTTGTGGAGAAAAGGGGACTGAAAAAAGATTTACCAATCACATTTGTTGAAAAAGATTTTTACCATAATCTTTTTGAATGTTCTACCTCAGATTTGTGAAGTGATCCACTGTTTGGCATCAAGTGTTTGTCACGTTCTGACCATAAAGAAAACTTTATACCACATAAGTAACCATCTGGTTTCTTCAATTTTCACTCAGGAGCAAAAATCAGCCTTTATACTTGAAAGAAATAATGATTTGACATATATCGTGATAATTATCGATATCAAATGATATGAAATGTTTTATCGTGATAACATTTTTGGCCTTATCGCCCAGCCCTACTTGTTTCATATTTGTATTTTCATACAGAAGAGTAAAGTAGACTTTTCCAAAGAATTGGTCTTTCATTTTATAATGTTTTCTTATCAAATCTAGGGCCCCAACTAATTATTCATTTCATTACTGATTCATCTGTTGATTGTTTTTTTCCCCAATTAATTGTTTAGTTTATTAATTAATAACATAAGGTGATGTTTTCAAATGTATGGCTTTACTCGATCAACAGCTCAAAACCCAAATATATTTATTTCACAAGGATACAAAGTGGTGGCTCAGCGGTTAGCACTATTTCCGCACAGCAAGAAGGTTCGATTCCTGGCTGGGGTTTGCATGTTCTCCTGGTGTTTGTGTGGGTTTCCTAAACATGTATGTTGAGGTTCGAGTTTAGGTTCGAGTCAGTGCCCTTGACCAAGACACTGGCTTAAATCTGCCATTGGTCCCCGGGCGCTGCACAGTGGCTGCCCACTGCTCCTAATTAAAATGGATTAAATGCAGAGAACAAATTTCGTAAAACGTGGTACAGTGTATTATTTTATATGTAACAATAAAGATTTATATTGATTGATGATTTAATTTGAAAACAAAGAAAAGCAGAAAATTCTCTGATTTGAGACACTGGAAGTAGAGTGTTTGAAACAAATATCAACAATTACAACAATTGTTGATGTTTGTTTGGTCGACTTTTCTGCTGATCCACTAATTGTTTCTGCTCCACTTCCACTCATCATGTTACTCCAGTGACCAAAGCAAATGATCAAAAGTAAATACTTTGAACTGTAGTTTGAAATGTTGAGACCGTCTTAGATGAAAACGGCACTGCAGATTAGATACCCACCGTGTTTTGTATTTTTACCACGACATAAGCACTTACCCAGTGTTGAGCCCGTGGGCCCCAAGACTGGGAGGGGCGGGGCTGGCTGTGCTATGAGGGGGCGGGGTTACAGCAGAAGAGGTGGAGCCTACTGCAGCTGAGCTTACTGGAGTCATGGGACAGGATGCTGAAGGTGACGAACTGGCGGCTGAGGGGAAGAGAAGAAGAGGGATATTGATGTCATGTAAAGGGCCTGTTGTCACTGTACGGATGAGTTACAGCGTTATTACTAAATAAACACTTTGGTGACACAGTTCTTCATCAACAGTCAGGATCCTGAACTTTTTGAGCGTCTTCTTTAACTCCGACTACAGACTGGAGAGGGAAGTTTGCGACTGGAAAGTATTAGCCTTGGCTCAACGGGCCAATAAATTTCCAGCTGTGTTTGTTACCTGTCAGGCTATCTGTCATATCTGTGAAGCCTGGGATAGCTCACAGTGTAGCCAAGGTCTATAAATCATGAGGACGAGTTATGACTCATGGAGGTAAACAGCTCAAGATGGGACCTGTGTTTCCATGTTGTTGTCAACAAAACATCATTGTTTTCTACTTCAATCTTTCTCTCACAGAAATCATTTTTTAGTCTCCGACAATACAGAAGTATCAACTTCTTCCAAATAATATCAAGACCACTTTAATCTTCTTGTGATCGACCTTAGGGTTCCAAAAACACAATTGAGAAACACTGCTCTAACATTTAATTATTTATTGATGAGACTCTACACAGGCACAAACAGTAATTACAGCTGACCTGTTGCTGTGCTGAGGCTGGTGGTGACCTGGGACAGGCCCTGACTCGATATCTGGAGAGGGAGAGAGGAAAAAGGAAATCGGGAAATATTTCCATCCATCTGTGAAACAAATATCAGGCCAACTTCTGAAATTATATAAGAAAGTGGTAGAGTAAGAGTAGTAACAGGCTAGTGGATTCACGGTGGACTGTACCATGTGCGGGCTGTAGCAGGAGGCTTTATGTGACACAACAGGCGAGGTTTGGCTGGGTAGGGGAGGGGTTGTGCTGCTGGAGGGGTTGATGCGTTTCTCTTTCTGCCTGCGGTTGCAGAACCAAACACGAATCACCTCCTTCTCCATGTTGAGCTGCTCCGCCATGAGCAGGATCTCCTCCGAGGTAGGCTTCTGGTTCTGAGGAGGAAAACACCAGACTGGTGAGTAAATAGATGGATAAGCAAATCCTGAAAAGTAGGTATCTGTCAGAAAATGAGTGATCATGCTTGCTTAACCCTTAAATGCAAACCCTTGGTCTTTAGCAATGCGGGACTATATTACACCTGCCTAAATGATTCATTTCAGTCAATTAAGCACTCCACTCACTTGTATTCCTCAAACTATTTGTTTTAACAATATTCTGGTGTTAAACTGTCGAAAATTATAATTGTCCCTAAAATATTTATATGGCTGCTAGAGACCCGGGGTATGTAAAAGTATTAAATGTTTTATTCACTGTGAGCTGGATGCAAATGATAGCAAGTGGTTTTCCTGGCCACATTTCCAACTTGTGAATCAAGAAGATCTCACAAGCAACACACTTTTCTTGGAAAATCATCAGCTGATGTGGCTGTGGCTGAAATGAAAGGAAGAGGTGCCTGAACTTCCAAGAGCTCATGGATGCTCTAAAAGTCTCTGGTTCGTCCACAAACAGAACCCGCTTCAGCTGATGAACTCCCAAAAAAACAATGCCACATCTGTCCTTCTACGCTCAACCGCAAATCACTGGAGCGGTGCAAACAAGAGGTATGTAAGAATTTTTTAAAAAACACCCATGAATTTAAGCATTAATAAAAAGAAGACAGTTATCTAAAATAGATAAAACAGAGAAACCGTTCATAATGAAAACAATTCAATCAAAGAAAGTTCTTACAGAAAGCATTTAAACGCTAAAAACAACTTGTTATGGCACTTAAGTTCCCCTTCACTTGAAAGCACTTTAATTCTCGCTCCAAAAGTTCACATTTGTTTTCATTATCACATTTATTCTTTCCACAAAATGAAAGCTGAGACTCTATTTTAAAATCTGCTAATTTTGTACAATTGACATCAATAATATCATACCTTCCGCTTTTTGTGTTTTATGTTCATGTGTCAGGCTCTCTCTGCAGACTGAAAGATACAGTTTACTTGGTAAATAAGCCTCTCCTCTCCTACCGTGTGGAAGTTGCGCTCTAAAGCCACTCGCACGTTGGTCTCGATGCTGGTGCGTTTCTTCCTACGTCGGCCGGGTAGACCCTCAATGCCCAACATGGGGGAGGAGATAGAAGACGGGCTGGGAAGCATGCTATCTACTGCCATGGTTTCTGTCAAAAATAGAGAGATAGAGAGAGGTAGAAAGACGAAGAATAAAAAAGAGACAGAGACATTAAGACATGCAGGCCAACAGATAGGAAAACACAGCAAAAAGCAAGCAGTGAAGACTAGAATGGTTTGTTAGTGCAGTGTGATAGCTCTTAGGGCTATCACAGTTTTTTGCACTTCTCTCTTAGAGTGATGGCTTTTATTATTTAAAAAAAATGACATTAAACACTTTAAACTTAATGTTACTGTTACTGATACACATACTGTTAAGTACTCATCTAAAATAGACAAAATGTTACATACATGTCTCTGTTATGGAAACATAATGCAATTTTTAAAAAGCTTGGTCATTTCTAAAACTTTAAAGTCCGGCAATTTGTTTGCAGGGAACAAACTTCTTGATGTTTTTTTGAAAAATCTCAGGCTAGTTTCAGATGCAGTGGATGACAAACATGTGTCCACGGTCAACCAGTTTCAGATGTTTACCTGCATCACCCAGCCATTTCTCGAGCAGTGGTTTCAGCTTGCACATGTTCTTAAAGCTCAGGTTGAGTGCTTCAAATCGGGAAATGGTGGTCTGGCTGAAGTCGTTGCCATAAAGCTTTCCCATAGCCACGCCGACGTCTCCCTGACAAGAGACAGTTAAACAGTGTCAGAAATGGAGTCGAAACTCACACACAGACTACTGTCCATCTTCCTCCTATCAACGTCTTTTACCTGGGTGAATCCCAGCTTGATGCGTCGTTGTTTGAAGGTGCGGGCAAACTGCTCCAGCTCCTCCAGGTCGCTGGGCTCTTCTCCCAAGTGACCCCCGTGACCTCCAGGAGTCAGGCCGGAAGCCATCGAGGAAGCCATAGCACTGCTGGATGCAGAGGTGACTCCTACAGACGTCACAACACCAACGCCACTGCTGCCGGTGGCAACTATAGAGCCGCTGCTGCTGCTTCCACCGACTACAACATCACTGCTCTTCTCCCTCTGTAATATCAGGAAGACAGATAATTAAATAAACAAAACACACACGTGTGCTTTATTCAAATAGCCTTAAACAATATTTATGTGCACAGGTTGACATGTGAGGCCCAAGAAATCCTTCAATCAATCCTTAAACCTGTAAGTGTTTTTATTATTAAAAAACCTGTAAGTGTTTTTTAAATTATTACAGAGCCGTCAAGGTTTTAAAGAACATTCCTTGAAAAAAATAAGTTTCACTTGAAACAAACTGGTTAGTGAATACATATGAGGCAATCAGCTAGGAAATATGCATAAAAAACAATAATTTCACCCTGGGTGCCTTGACAAATTATACAGATTTGACAGACATCATGCACAAAAAACATTCCCATCTTTTCTTCTAAACAAATACTATGAATTTAATGAGTTTGGAAATAGAGTTTAACCTCAGCCTACCACCAGGTCAGCTGACACACATGGCGCATCAAAGCAGGAATTTGACCCTGCGAGCTCTGGGAGTATCAACTAATTGACCAGACATCATGCATGATATCTGCTGCTACACGCCTCATTTACATTCATCGTCTCTGTGCATAAAATACACAAACAAGCAGGGAACACCTGCCGTTGGGTTTGACACGACTTCATCACAGTTTAATGAAAAATCTATAACAGCCCTTGGATGTGTGAGTATGCATTCATGCATTATGTTAAAGAAGATAAAGGCTGAGGACACAAGGTGAGCTGTTTGACTTGCGTGTGAATATATCAAGATTCAAGATCCTCACTGGACTCTGAACTGCCTCTTTTATGAAAAGAATCTTCTATGGAATATATTTTATTTTAAGCAGCTGCCCTCAGATTTTTTCCTTTGGCTAATAGGCTGCTTAAGATAAACACAACTCCAAGGTAAATTAAGTATGTTTTAAATTCTGCAGGTGCTTTACAGCAGATGATGGTTGATAGCGGTCAACGTCAGTCTGACGAACACCATGGTGTAGTGATTCAATATCTATTTGGTTTGCATGGAAAAACAAGCCCCACTTGTTGTGTAGTTTAGTTCTGTAGTTTTACAAGGTCTCTCTCTCTTTCTTTCTCACACGGAGAGATTTTCTACCTGTGCTTGGAGTCCCAGGCGAGGTGGGGTTGTCAGTAGTCCCCCTGGGCTTTGCTGAGGTAGCTGGATCAGATTTTGTGTTGAGAGCAAACCTGTGAAATGAAGAGCAACCAATTAGCAAACCAAACAATCAATTGACCATCCAATCACAATATAAAATTATTTAACTAATAAAGCAATTAGTTAAGGAAAGAAAATGCTGAAATGCTTCACCAAGAAAGTGATATATGGCTCTTAAATGTTTTATGTTTTACTTTTACTGAACACTAAATATTTAGTGAAGTGTTGGTGGCTTTACTTCTTGAGAATAACAGTTCTGCGGTTGAAAGTGTGAATTTTATGTTAATTTAAGAATTGAAGACCAGAAGTTTCCCATGTTGACCTCACCCTGCTGCGGCTGCTGGGCTTGTGCTGGCTGAGAAAGGAGGAACTGGGCAGGAGACTGGAGATGATGACCAGGCATCAAAACCAGCTGCTGGAGCTGCAACAGCTGCTGGATGTCCTGCAACAAAAACACAAACATGTTTCAATATGCAGCACAAATAAACTAGACTTAAAGGTAATTGTTGCTGCACAGTGACAATCGAACAGAAAAGTCTCAGACTCAACTCAGAAATAACATGCTTTACTTTATGTAAACCCAATTTCTCAATCAGTCATCTAACATAAAAGTATTTCAGTATAAAAGGTACATACTGTTCATTAATGCATTGGCTGATCATACCTGGGCTGTGAGCTGGATTGGCTGCGTCAGGGCCAGATGTGGAGGCGGTGCTTGTTGCTCCTGTTTGGTTGGCTGTTGCTGCTGCTGGGATTGTGATTGGTTCTGCTGCTGTTGCTGCTGCTGTTGCTGGTTGGCTTGATGCTGCGCGGCGGCGTGGGCAGCGTGAGCGGCGTGGGCAGCATTTGATTGCTGAACGGCGGCTGCCAGGAGCTGAGCCTGAGCCTGTTGGAGGAGGAGCTGCTGCTGAGCCGGGAGGAGAGCGGCAAGCTGGGGGAGAGGAGGAGGAGAAGGAAGTGGAGGAGGAAAAAGAATGGGGCAATGAGGAGAGAGAGAAATGAGAAGAGCGATGGCAAATAAGATGATGTAAACAGGCAGAAAGCAGGGGAAAGGGGATGAAAGAAGAAGTGAAGGACGAGTCGAAGTTTGACAGAATAAAAGGATGAGAGAATAATCATGTAAAGGAAGAATAAAGTGAATAGAAAAGTGGAGACAAGTCAGGAGAGAGAACAATGAGCAGTGTCAGCTAAGCATTCCAGGAAGAGAGGTGTAGGTGAATCTGTTAGCAGACGCCAGAGCAAGACAAGCAAGAAAAGCCATCCACTTAACTAAAAGAACAGTTTAGACATTTCACTCGACTGCAAATGCTGTACGCTGAAGGATCTTGCAACATGTCGTGCAAGTGTTCTCTTGTCCTTCAGGCCAGGTATGCACTTACACTGAATATTTTCCTGTGCATAACAGTCACAACATTACTTAACATTTTGAACTAAATAAAGGCATGCTGACACGAACAAGTGTTTGGAGCTGCTTATTTTATTTATTGAGTATTTAACTCTGAAGTTTGGTTCATTTTACCAGGTGAGAGCAATGCAATATTGTTGATACAAACTAAATGAAATGAGCAGCCATGCAATTGGACAAAGACGTGGACCTCTTAGAGCCAGCAGTTCATCATTGTTGAAATCCTAAAGCACTAAAATGAGCTGTGGGCAAACAGAAAGCTGTGCTTAGCTAAAATTACAAGTGAGTCTGGGAATGTTTTGACAGGTCCTCAAAGCTGTCTGTCAAATAAACTCACTTGCAGTTGAGTGGAGTTAACTGTTTGAACTTAATTTTAGATGAAAGAAAGTGCCTTGTGCTATATTTACAAAGCAGCTTTCATTTAAAGTCCAGAAATTATTAAAATAATATAAAAATATTTACACACAGAAAAAATTAACTGAGGGGAAAGGCACTTTTTAAAAACCAGCTAGACTTCTGACGTCAGTTGCCATGTTTGCAAAAATCTTTATAATAAGTTCTGAACACAATTTACTATGTGTGTATGTGTTTTGTCTCACCCCTGCTAGCTGACTGCCAGCCAGCATCAGCTGTGTGTGGTGGTGTTGAGTCTGTTGCTGTTGTTGGGAGGGAGGCGCAGGAGGAGCAGCAGTATGGGTCATCTCAGAGCTGTCCTCACTCTTTCTCTTAAGTAGATCACAAAGTCAAACTTTCCGTTAGCGAGTTTCTATTTTTTCACTGCATTTATCCAAGGAAGGTTTTTTTTTTGAGCAACATGATCTATCACATTCACACAGTAACACACACACATACACACATGTTTGTTTCTCTATCATCTCACTGATGTAACGCATGCCCTAGCCCCTTACCATAACCTTAACCATCACAACTACAGGCCTAACCTTATCCTTTAACCCAACCCCAACCTAAAGTTAATGTAACCTAAACCTTAAAACCAAGTCTTAACCCTCTAAAAGCAGTCTATACCTGTGGGGACCTCAATCTTGGTCCCCATGGTGACTCAAGTGCCCATCAGTTAGTGTGTATTTAGGTGCTCGTTCCCCACCGTGCTAAAATAAACACACACTCAGATCTCTAAGTAAAGCCTGTCGTTAACTGACAATCTCACTTTCTAGATTGTGGTTTTACAGTTGTTCAACCCCAGCCTAAAGGCTTTCAAGAATGTGGAAGCACGAGAAGACAAACCAGATTGTGCAGGTGAAAAGAAAAAAGACAAAGATAGTTCATTAGCATACATTCATCTGATGTTTGACTCCGACTTGAACTTGAGCCTTTAATTCTGCGAACGCCTGATTCACAGGATGAAGTGTTTACCAGTCATCTGTCCAGAAGGATGAGTCAATCGTCCTCGCTTTCATGGTGTCAGAAACATTCCAAAGCTGCTGACCTCTGACCTCTAGCTGCTGTTGCCTGCTCACAGCCGTCATTACCAATCCATCACCACTACACTGGACTGAATCTTTGAGTCTATCACTCATCATCACCTTATTCACATCCGTTTTTCTTTCTGCCGTTTCACTCGGGGCTCTTTGCTTCTCAGTAAAGTGGGTGGCAAAGACGATGAAACATGATTTGCATTTTCAGTGGAGCCTACGGGCTCTGAAGCCATAAAACACAGCGCAGATGTATTTATGCCTTCACACTCACACACATCCACATACAGTACATGTTCATACAAGCACATAATCTGATCTGTATCAATATGCACTGTTATTTCCATCAGATACACTTAAATGGTTGTATTATGAAATCCGTATCCTGACACAAAAAAATTATAGCTACATACAGTTTGTCAGGCAATATGTGAAACACATAAATCAGCAGAATTATAAGCAAATAACTTAAGATGACTACAGGAAAGGGGTTTTAAGGAAAGGATTTATGGTTATATAAATACAGTAATTCTCATCACTCACATAAAGGTTTGACTTTCCACAGGTGTATGGTATTGAAGCTGCTGACAGCCAATACTTACAATATTTATGAGAAGTTATTAGCTGGGATCGATCAGAAACACACACACACACACACTCACACAATACATGTCTGAACTGGCTCACCTTGGTGCCAGTTGGTGTGGGAGAGAGGCTAAAGGGGCTTGTTTTCATTGGCTGGACCTGTGGCAAAACATTCAAGTGGGGAAAAAAAACAAAACACAAACATTCACGACATCAATATCATCCGATGACAGATTCTGATGAAACACTACCCTGAAATCTGTGTCAACATGCTCCCAGTGAATCACAGTTACAGTGAAGAGGGGTAAGACAGGGGTGGAGTTTAAATGCAATGACTTTTTTTAAACATCAACAACAGGCGGAAGAACACATCAAGTCACCAACACCACACAAATTGTTGAGTTAATTTTGTTTAAAAAACAGTTAATTTGCTTAGTATAACATAAAAGAGTTTACCCAAAACACTGCTACTGTATAGGAAGGGCTCTATCAAGCAGCAGCTATCTCATTACAGGGTTGATTTTTATAGTGATGTTCACAATCATTTTCTGCATTGTATTAATTTACAGTCAATGACTATAGCTAAACAGTAAAAGTCCGTAAAAGTAAAAAACCAACCTGGTCATCAGGGCTGTTTCTGTCAGAGTCTGCAACAAAGAGGGAACATTTATTAGACAGTGTGAGTGTGTGTGGGTTCTATAAATTTCACATTTCCATGACTTAAAGGATGCAACTTTCACTCAAAAACAGGAGAGAAAACAGCACACATTGATTTCCGTTTATCTCAAAATGTTCACATCATTAAAATATGATGATTGTTTAAATAAAATGTAATTATTATTCATATCATGAAATATGTATGTGTGTGTTTACCTGAACTGTCCCCTGGATAGTCAGCCCCAGGCTTCTCCTCCTCTGCTGCTTTAGACATCCTGATATCTGCAAGAAACACAGACACACATCAGAAAGTCATGGAAAATACATAGAGGTATATAAGACTATGCTGCAGAGGTTGTTGGTTGGCGCTGAAGGGAAAAAACACACACTCAACAATCAACGTCCAGGGGCCCTTAAAACATTTGACCATCACACTGTATGTCACAAGAATGTGGACATGTTGTGACAAACACACTAATACACTCGATAAATCTGACAATATCGGGAGGTGAGACAGACAGAATGACACCTTGTCTCTCTGTATTGTAAAATAAAAGAATGCTGCATAATATGCAGTATGAATATTTCAGATGGAAATTGTAGTTGATTTGCACTAATCCATATAAGCCCAGTAACTCTGCCTCTAATCAGCCACCTGTTTACTGGTTTCCACTTTCACATTATTTATTTATTCACCATTCTCTATTTCAGTGCTGTTCATACTATGTCATATTGTATATACTGTATACCAATACACCTACCTCAGGTCATAAGGTCATGGGTCTTGTTTATTTTTTCCAGCATCCTCTGCACTATGCTCCATCACACTGTGTACATGTGTACATGTATGCATGTATGTGAATGTGTACCTGTATATCATATCCACCTTCAACATGTACATAATGAGAATAGTTTACTCCTGCAGCCTTTGCACTCTGATCACTGCACTATTTGTCAATATGTCTATATTGTTTTGTTCATAGTGTGTATATTAGTGTTGTCTACTCTGTAGTTTGTGTCTGATTTTATTTTATTATTATTTTATTATTGTGTTATTGTATTTTTGTATGATTAAGCACATCGTGAGCAATGTACAATCCTGAGTCAAATATGTGTACACATACCTGGCAATAAAACTGATTCTGATTCTGATTCTTTAAGAATTTCATAATCCTTTCAAATTTAAAATGTAATTTTCAGTGTCGAAAGAAAATTGATTACATCAAACTACATAAAGGTTTGGAACACCTTTTTGTGCTTACACCCTATCCCTGTCTTTGTATTAATTGCCATCCATCCAGCTATGTTGCTTGTTCTCCTTGACCATTCAGATATACAAACAATGGTTTATGCAATCACTTCTTGGTGAACGCAAGGTCAGTCCTGCAGTAATGGACCTTTTGTAGGTGAAAGTTCAACAGAGATCAATGCTGTTAAGAAACATCTTATTTAAAAAAAAAAGGAGCAAATTAAGGAATGAAGAAAGAACTATTTGAAAATGTGTGCTCATACTGAGTTGCTAATTTTTGAAGACAAGAAGTGGAAATGGAATGATGTTGCTATTGTCTTGTGATAACCTTGTTACTCTAGTATTGGTGATGAAACCCTGTGAAAGACTAGCTGGATAAAATCAGAAAAGACATTACTCTTAGTTCCTGAAAACCTCAGGTTTGGAAAATACAGTTCAGTTTCTTATTTTGCAGTGATGATGTTAGACTTATATATATATACTCCTGCTGATAATTTCATCCTGTTTTCATTAAACTTGACTTGCAAACAACCAAGAGAAAACCCTGCTTAGCCAAAAGCTGACCAAGAAAACTGATGATACCACACTCCAATTTAGCTCTTTCAATGTAAACTTTATTGACTCAGGAAGTGGGACTGGGATTAAGAATTAGCTTTTCATGGGAGATATCCTAACTACCCTCTTCTGTTTGTGGTGACTTCTGGGATTGCAGAAGTAATTGGTCCAGGAAGAACGACGCCAGAGGAACTGCTTACCTGAGCACCAGACATTACTCAGCACCGCCGCCATCTTGGATAAAAACACTCTTTCGTCCCCTGCGCTACACTCTTAACTTATGTCTGTTTTTTGCTTTTAAAACTAATTTTCTCTCTTCAGCTCAGGACTTTTGTAAGAAACGGCACCAGCTCAACAAGAAATGAGACATCTCGGTACAAACATGGTAGTGCACACGTTCTGTCTACACGATGTTCATGTGTCTGACAGGAGGCTGAAGCTGTGAAAATAATCATCCTCTACCCACCCCCTCTTCTTCCTTAGTATAACTATAACTACAGGTTCTGTCCTTCTATGTCACTGCCTCCTTTATTCCCTATGGAGGACAAACACGCACACACACACACTCGAAAAGCACACATTTTGTGTATGATAGGCAATATGTGATACAAGAAAAGAATTAATAACTGAAAACAAAACAAGAGAAGGGCTTACTGGAAATTATATATAAGACCAGTGTACGGGTGTGTGTGTGTGTGTGTGTGGGTGTTTGTGGGTGTGATAATCTTATCATCAGGGTCACAGACAAGTTCAAGGTGCGATGAGAGGTGGTGGAAAGGAAGGAAAGAAGGAGGGAGGGTGAATAAAGGAGTAGGGGAGAGGGAGACAAAGAGAAAGAGAGGGAAAACAAAGAGATGGAAGCGATGTAAGGCTGCGGTGAGAAAACAAAATAGGGGAAGATCAAAAATAAGAAAAGGGGTCAAAGAAAAAAGTGAAAGAAAGTGAAAGAAAAAAGATGTGTTTGCAGTTTATCACTGAATAAAGATGCAAACTTTATCACACACTTGTGTTTACCCTTCTCTTTTTCAGTTTGGTGACTGATTTGATTACTTTTTCTTCTCAAAATAATGCAAATTAATGTCATCCTCAGTCTGCATGACTATTTCCCAGAAAATTAGGTTTTAAAAAGAGGTAAGAACTGTTCTTTGGTCAGCTTGAGTACAAAGTAGCTAATGGCATCTTGTGATGTTTTTATTCATTCATTTTGTTTGTGTTATATTTCAAAAGACTCGTCTGCCATCAAAGAAAATCATGGAAATAAATGTTGGTAAGTCCCTGAGTTAAAAAAATGCATGAATCAAATCATCCTGCGTTTTTGTAATGAAAAAGAAAATGCAAAGACTCACTCAGCCCTCAGTTAGTGGAGGGTTGCAGTTACATAACACAACCAGATGGTGGCAGCACTCTCCTGGAAATGCTGAGCCAGAACTGTGTGTTTGTGCGAGCTGTACCAAACACTGTCTGCAGTAATAAGTCATCTGAATCCTTTCAGTGAACAATTAATATTTTATATTCAGAAATAAATTGTTTTGAGGGTGCAATAGTCTGCAGTCACAGGTACATGGGGAAATAAATGAAGAGCCTGAAACATGATCTAAAAACTACAACTGTAATAAAACTCAAACACAAAATTCTCAGATGTAAAGATGCAGAGACATTTAAAAAAGAACATTTAAGTTACATAAACTACAACGGATCCGCCTTGGTTACAAACACAATTTACTTCTGTGACTTTCAGGGACAATAAAATTCATTATTAGGTCATTACTTGCTGGCATCAAATCACCACACAAACACAAAAATACAAGCTGACATTTTGAAAATATATTAATTTATTCCGTATTGAATTAACTAAGCTGTATTTTACACACACACACACACACACACACCTCAATGTTGTTGATCAGATGTACTGTATCTACAGTTTTACTGACCTATAAATTTATGTCTGTTGAAACATTCAGCTAAAACAGTAAGTGATAAATAAAATAATCAACGGTAAAATATATATATTTATATAATTATTATGACTTATTATGACTCACTACTACTACCACCATCAGTGATACTGGTAGCCTACTACTAGCACCAACATAGATCTACTCTCACCGGTACTGCAGCTGCTGCTACTCTTACTCACTTACTACTGTTGCAGTTTCTATTACAAGTACTGATATAGTGCTGACAGTACTGCGACTCATAGGACTACGCTCGTTAGTATTGTTACTACTATCGCCAATTCAAGTGCAGCTATTACAAACACGACCACTTGCACAAACAAACCTTTCAGAAATGCACTATTTAAAAATACAATTTACTAAAATGCTGGATCCATTTCATTCAACCATAGGGTTAAATGTAATACACTCAACATCAAACACACACACACATTTATTATTCCAGGCTCCTTCATCCTCTCAGCATATGAAGGGAGGGACCCCATAAAATCATTTTATCATCCCACTCCCCCCTCTATCTCTCGCTCCCTAACGCCTCAACTGCCCCTAACCCCTCTGGCCATGGGGCCTTTCAACCCCCACCCCCCATCCATCCCAACCAGCTCACAAACGCTAACAAATCAAAGACACCAAACCCCCAAATGTCACAGCCCCTCATGTCCAGTAAACATGAAGTTTTATTTTCAGGTTTCAGATTTTTTTTCTAATACGTTACATGCAAATCTACAAATGTGTATTTCCCCACAATAAACCTTCTACCGTCTACAGAAAATGTCACCAGGACATCACAATTCTTTAATTTCTATATTTTGTCCACGTCAAGTGTAAAATTTACAGTGACCACCGTCCCAACACACTCCTCCACCCCGGGGCAGTTTGACAGCAGCCGTTCGGATTCAAGGCAGACCCCCCCCGTCTGCCCTTACTCATCCTATCAGTGCTAATAGCATAGAGAGAGAGAGAGAGAGAGAGGGAGAGAGAGAGAGAGAGAGGCCACTGGGTAGATGATGTATCTGTCTTCTGAGGTTGACATGTCCTGCCTGTATGTGTGTTTGGTGTGTGTTAGAGGTGAAAAAGAGGGGGGTGTGGGGTCACTGTCAGGGAATTAGAAAAGGGGGGATGAGACAGAGAGAGAGGGGAGGAGAAGGGGATAGGATGGCTGGAGGGTTACTAAACTTGCCCCCCTCCTCCTTCTTGCCCACCCACCCCGCCTCGGTCACGCCTGTCAGGGGCCGGTGACAGACGGCGCGTGGGTTTCTCTGTGTGTATGTATGTTTGAGGGGGGTTGCCCGCGCTGTTTGGCGTGTGGATGTCAGAGGTCAGGCACATGGTCTCGGCCACCTCGTGCCTCGCAGTGACACACGCACAAACAAGCTGCCTGCCTTTTCCACCTGTCCCCTGTCACATTCACTACCAGACACACGATGCATCAACGAGCAAATCTGCAACTGCTGCATTGAGAAGATGTTTAAAATCAGCTATGAAACTAAAAAGGGTGAACGCTGCAGTTTCATTATTTA